TTTTAGGTTTTTCCCCCCCCCCCCCCCCCCCGTTGCTGTTAAACTTTTAAAACTTTTGAAAGTGGAGTAAAATAATCTCAATTTTCTTTCTTTCTTTTTTTTTTTTCTTGACTTCATTTAAAGTAGCAGGAATGATGCAATATCTGATAATGGCGAGATGGCTAATAATCAAATACTTCAAGGAGAAACAAGGTAGGCTGCTTATTTTTCTATAGTTACTATTAAAATAGATCCAGGCAGTCATAGTGCAAGCTTCTACTAACTTTAAAAAAAAGCACCACACAAACACCTACAACAAGTTGCATTAAAAAAAACACTGTCATTTCTTCTACATTTGCATCTATACATTAGAATTCGGGTTTTTTCAGTACTTTCCTGAAGGATTTGCACTAAAAGATGTTACCAGTAAGTAAGAACAGGGTGCAGCTGCAATTGGAACAGAAGAGTTTTCTAAAGTCCAAATCTCAGAAGAATGCATTTAGGCATACAAATAATAAATGTGCTTTAAAATTGCAATTTGGAAGTAGCACCGGAACTCCTTTAGATCCGCTACTATGTCAGTGAGGGTGGGGGTTTTTTGTTGTTACCAAAATAGGGGAAAATAATGATAAGATAACAGTTGAATTAAGCTTTCTGTAACACTGTTTCCAAACCTCTCTGTTCTGTTTAATACTGTGTATTTCTGCTTACAGTGGACACCCAACCTTCAAATGCCCCCTGTGTCAGGAAGCCAATTTTACCAGACAACGCTTGCTGGATCACTGTAATAATAGACATCTTTATCAGATAGTTCCTGTAGTAAGTAGAGTTGCTTATGTATGCTTCTTAAGCTACTTTCATTACAATTATGTGAACAATTTTAAATGTGCAGTAGCTACTCTATATCTGTGAAGATCACTGTGGACTGAGAAAGACAATATACTTAATGCAGGGCATTTAACTTGAGGAGTGACTTTCATGTGAAAATGTTTCTTGTGCAGGTTCTTGTTAGTTCGAAGGCATTTCTGACTTAGCTGTCCCATTTATCTTGATGTGAAACAAACTCAGTTTTTGAGCCTGACGCTTATTCTTCATTTAGTAATTCAGATCTGTTTATATAGAATCCCATTTGTAACCTAACTATTGTTTCATGTGAAACTTACAGTTACTTGAAAAGTAATCTAAGGTGATCAAACAGACTGAAGGAGAAAAATCTGTTTGGTTTTCTATTCTTTTCATCTGTATAGGGTGTGTTATTTTTTTCTTTCAGCTTACTTGATCATCTCAGTTGTATGAAAATTCTTCCAAAAAATAAGCAGGATGCAGTAATTGCTTTCTTTTCTAAATTTTAAACAACAGAAATTGACAAAAAGAGTGCCAGACAGACATGATAATCCTCCACTCCGAAGGGAAACACTCAAGAAATTAGGCAAGTTGAAATGTAACTTTTGAGTGTTACACAATTGAGGAAAAGAACACTTAGAACTATGATTTTATGTGAACATCTCTACTGTATTTTAGTAGTGGATGAGTAATAGACTAGTTATTCCTGTAGAACATGTCTTTAATGTATTCTGTATTGCCAGTAACTCTTTTTTAATTCTCTCTCTTTCCCCTTCCCCTCCAAATTCAGATCTGTCCTATTTGTGTATCTCTTCCTTGGGCAGATACTAACCAGGTTACTAGAAATCTTGTTAGCCATCTAAATCTAAGACACCGGTTTGACTACGGAGAATTTGTGGTAAGCTTTTTCTTCTTTGATGTGTAGGGGAATAAATGGTAACTTTTTTCTATAAATAAAAATGCCCAATAAAAAATTTGTACCAAACTTGTTTGTGCTCTGGACATGCTATGTTTCTGCTCTGTACGGAACTCAGAAGTAGGTCTATCTGTTCTTAAACTTTCCATCATCAACTTGAAGTGCTACTGGGAATAGGCGTTGTCAACTGTTAAGCTCTGCTCCAAACTGATGACTTGAGTCTTTAGTTTAGTGTTCTCGATCTGAACTATTTGTTCCTCCAGAACAGTTTATTACTGCTGTTTCTGGGGGAAATAAAATAGATGCTACTCTGTTTTATCGACATTTTTGACCTTTTAAGGCAGAAATGGCTAAATCATAATTCTCAGGACTCAAAGTGCAGCATGACTAGTTGGTATTGCTGCTACAGCCTCTCTTCCAGTATGTTGCGAGAGAGTCTGCAATGTGAAAAAGAGATGCATCATTAAATCATCGTTCTGGTTGCCTTCTTTCAGGCTCACTTTGAGTAAATGAGCTTGGAGTAGATGCAGGACTACATACGCAGATATAGTCAGTGGGTGAGGCATAAGTCAAGCCAACCAGCTTAGTTCTGCATGTGGGATCAGAGAGCTGGAGAGTTTGTATTGTAGTTTCTACAGCGTTTGACAGGCTTTGGGGTACACTGCTTGAGCTTTGTGTGGGACAAGCATAGTATTTGAGGCATAGGCAGCCTCACTGGTTAAAGATGGCAGAGATGATGTATATTGTTCCTTGTGTTGAGTGATCTGTGACAAAGGCATGAAGAGCTAGGAGATTGATACAGGGGATTGGGTTCTTCAACATGAGTGCATCTTGCATGTTTGAGGATGTAAAACTGGTGATTGGAATTCTGATTTGGGGAAGCTGCCAGAATTGCACTAAAAAGGTATATTATTTTACTAAAAATTGCACTAAATTGGTATAATTGCACTAAAAAGGTGTAATATGCCATATACTCTGGCATATTAACAACTTGGAAGATAGCTCTTCAAAAGTAGCAGGGTTAACCACCCATCTTTTGTGATACGTGTTTGCTCTCTCATTTTAAGCAGTATATTCTCAACAATCTATGATTACTATGGTCTGGGGATCGCATTCTGTTTTTATTAATGGAGGATGTTATGGCTGGTTGGAAGCCCTGTTATAAGACTTGTGTGACACAGTCAGCTTTTCTGAGCTGGCTATTCTGTAATGTAATTGAGCCAGGGAGAGAAGATGGACCCTTCTGCTTAATGAGCCTTGTCCCACTCATCTGATTCTTCTCCTGTCTCATGTCTCTCTTGGTACTTGGTTAAATAAAAGATACTGTGCAACATGAACAATTGTCTAGTACACATAAAAATGGAAAGTCTTCATCTAGGTGCCAATTCCTATGTAAAAATGTGGAAAATGAATGATTAAACTAAGGACTATGGTGCATCTTGAGTATTTGTCCATGTTGATGATGTTTTCATTTTGTTTAGAATCTTCAGCTTGATGAAGAAGCCCAATACCAAAATGCAGTTCAAGAATCCTGTCATGTGAACTTTTAAAGTATAGTCCCCCTTCATCTTACTGATTATTTGAGAGAAAAATTACATTAATTCTGTTAGTGATTTGAAGTGTATATTAATAAAAATGGTATTCAGTAACCACTTTGCAGGTTTAACTTTTTTCCACGCTCATAAGAACTTTTCATAAATGATTTTGCTGAAACTCAAACCGTTGTCTTGATTTTCTCTGACTTTTACTACTCTGTTAATTACGTGGTTTCTTTTATTAATGTCAGGTATTTTAATTCAGCAAAACCAACTTTGAAAGTATCTTTAAAAAGACTGTTGCACTGTTGAGTTTCTTTAAGTTCAGCTGTCCTCTGCTAAGATATCTATGAGATAATAATTTTTTTCTCCTCCTGCCCAAGGACAAAGTTTTATTTGATGCTGTGATTTGTTTTTTACCATTACTATGTGAATGAAAATAAGAACAACTTAAAAATATTTGTTTTCTATAGATCAACAATGCAGAGCAGGTTTTTTTCACCTTTCATTGAGAAAGTATGATGCCATTGCCTAGGAATAGTTACATCTATTTTTTCCCTTTTTGGAGCATAACTGAAATAGGATGCTTGCTTACTAATGGGTGAGGAGTTTTCCCTGTACTCCCAACTACTAAGGACATACTTGCTGAGCAATTCAAGATGACATGTGAAAGGTATACTTTTTTGGTATATGGCTGACCAGCTAGTTTTTCATTTTGTTGGAGCTTTTTAAGAACTTTTGTTGTTGCATTTGGAATTCAAGTTTTGGTTTGTCCTGTCTTTCATGGAAGGCTGTGTAACTAGAGAACTAATTGGCTTCAGACCTACCAACACTCAGAAATGAACTTGTTTATTTTGGTAAGACTGTTTAAAACTTGGACATCTCCTGCATCCTGTTGAGAAGAAAAACTCGCTCTAAAATAGTTACCAACACATTTTAAGAGTTCCTGTTCTAGATTTCCATGTTCCCCGCAAGTCCGTCATTAAAATCAGAGAAAACAGAGCAATAATGCAATTTTGAATTTAAGTGGAAAATCCATTTGTAAAAGAACTTTAAGGTCTTTTATTTATTACTAATGAGGAGAAGGGGAAAGAAAGCTGCACAGCTTACATTTTGGAGGTTTAAATAGAGACTGTTCTGAATGTATACCTTTTAGGACTGACTCTTCATCCTGTGTCACCATCACCCATTGTTAAACTATTGTTCGTAATGGGTATTGTATATGTGGTGGAAAACATCCCCTGTAATTTTCCTAGTCTAGTTAGTGATTTATGTGTAATAATATCAGTTGTGCAGCCGAAGCACAATCTGCTTCTTGTGCCCTAGCTCCGATTTGCTCTCCAAATAGAAGTTTTGATTATTCTTTAAATACTGGGATATTTCATATTCCAAAACTGGTAAGGTTGAAATGCCTCATTCAGCAATGTAATGGGTTTCAGAACTGAATTTTCATGCTAGTATGTTGAGTGTTGGAACTAAAACACTATACACTGTAACTTGACATTTCTACCTTATTTTTTAAGAGTGTCAAACGTTACTGAAGCCATAGCCTGCTAAAATACAGAGAAAGTTGGCTATTTCAGAAATGTCTAAAGGTTATATCCTTTTTATACAACTTAACATGCCTTGCATTTTGTTACTGGCTTAATACAGTATTTGGACAGGAGGCCATGCTTGATCTTTTACTCCAACTTCCCTGTTTGCCCCCCATACTCTTGTCTGTGTATTCTCACTCATCTTTCAGCTCTAGTGCTCGTGTGACCACATACTGATTTGGAGTGGTTCACTGATCCAACTGAAAAGCTTGTTTGGATTTTTGCTCTCTCTTTTGCTCTATAAAGCCAACTATGAAATAGCACCCTTAGACAGAAAGGGATTTCAAGGTAGCCTGATGCTAAAGTTTTAGCTTTTTAAAATTAAAACACGTACTGTGGTGATTTTATTACTGCATACATTTCTTAAGGAATTTAATAGTTACATGTAAGTTTAACTTTTTTAGATTCAATAAAATATTTATATGATCTGGCAATAAATGCCTACAGCCAATACAGATTCAGAATGCCTCATGGACACTGGAACTAGTTACTTCTATTACTTGAATATATCTTGAGAATTGCAAATGAAATGACATCTATTTTAAAACTCTGGGAAACAAATTTTTCTATAGCAATAATTAGTTGTCACTTGATGCATAGTTGCTGAGCATTTTAGTCATGTTGAATACACATTTTAAAGCAACCAGTGTGTATAAATGCAATATAAAAAACCTTACAAAATGTTTATCCTCTCTATTTGCATACATTAAAATCTGTATTGGCAGGTGCTGCCTTGCTTAAAATTTTATACTTTTCATATGAAGAGATTGCATCCAATACATTCACTAGGTAAGCGTTTAATGAAAATGAAGCAATCTGTTTAAGTATGCTGCTGCTGGTCATGATCTTTCTCACTGAAATGCAGACATGCACAAAAAGCTGTGTATTTGTGATGGGTGATGCTTGTACTTGAAACATGCAATCTTTACTAGAAGACTGCTGCTTAATAATGTTTTCATGTTCATGTTGCATTGTGTATGGTTTCAATATGATATATTATGTTTGAATTGTACCTTCTATTTTTTCTCCTATTAAAGTATTTTATTTTCCGTTTGTTGTTTTGTTGCCTAATAAAGATGATCAGTCCCCTTGATGCTACTTCTTCCTTTTCGGATGCTTTCTAAACTTAAGTACATGGTCAGTTGTATGCCTTCACACTTCGAATGATTAGAATGGTGTGTATGCTGCTGGAACGGATGAGTTGTGGCTCATGATCCATTCATGAGCTGACAAGTTACCTTATATCACATCTTCAGATCTTTCCAGGAAGCAGAAAAGATGATAGTTGGCCAAAACTTATTTCATGCTTCTTTTCTCCCTTCCATGTTCGTATGTTGCTGTCCCATGTAATGTTAATAGAGAAATAACATCCTAAAGGGAGAGAGAAAGAGGTATGTATCACTCAGGGCCAATAGCAAACCTCGTTATTTAAAGGTAGATTTACTAAGAAGAGTTAATGGTTTTCTGAGGAAAGAATTGTCAGTAAGTTTGGGCTGGTTACGTTATTGGACCAGCAAGGTGCCATCTAGATGACTTCTCCTTCTGCCCTGTATTTTTGAGCTGAAAAACCCTTTGGTTATTTCTTGTGCTTTTACATTCTAAGGACATACAGAGGATAATACGGTTATGAAATTGACTTAAAGTCTTGTTTTGAATGATAGAAATACAGCAATTGTGTAAATTTACTTTTTATTAGTTTATTGTTCTTTCCTCTTCGAATCTAGTTTTCTGAGCTCTAAATAAATCACTGTATCTCCTAAATCTGGTTATAAGCCCTTTGTTAGAGATTCCATTTGATTTTCTTTCCCCTCAGCAATGCATATTTCATCATTTATAGAGAATGCACTCAATGTATTTAATTCTCATTGGCAGTATGTTGGTTATAGGATATGTGAGCTCTGCAGAACTCCCCTCTGTCCTGCTTCAGTCCTAAGCCAGGGCTTCATTCCCAGGGAGAGAGGGGGACTTCTGTGCATCCTGGTCATCTTCTGACAGGTAGTCAGGGCTAGAAGGTTTTCTGTATTTGGAAAGGGTTCCTGGGTCCCTGTTTTTAGATGTGGCTTTTGAGCCCAGTGAGTTTAAACACGTGAGTGTCTGTGAGGACTCTGCTATAAAAGAGTATGGCTAGTGTATTTTTTACATCATTTGTTTTGTGCTGAAACAGACACACTAATTCATGGATGCTCTTAAGAGATGTGCACTTTGCTATGTCTTGTAAACACTGTGCCATTTGTGAAATGACTGCAGAACCTGGCAGCCAAGGTTGTTTTGTTGCAGGCAAGCAAAGCTACAAGAATATCTGACAAAAGCATCTTCAGGTTTCTTTTAGAATTGGAGAAACTAGCAATGAAAGGGCACAAACACTACACAGTCTGTTCTCCGTACAGTGTACATTTAAACTTGCCCTAGGTATCAGGTTTCTTTTGTGTGCTGTTGTGGGTATGTTTGAAAACACAGCAGGCACAATTCAGGGCCTCTACTATGAGAAGGCTTTTCAATAATGTTAAAATTGCCACTTCCCAGTGAATTACCAGACCCTTACTTGGGTCAAAGCGTGGACTTTTTTTTTTTCCCCTCACGAATAAAGTAGGTCTGTACTGTTTCTTACTCTCCTCAAACTGTAGGTCTGGTTTGGGTAGGACCAGTTTTCACATCTTTGTTTTCCAGCCCTAACCAGTCTTATTCTATCTGTAACATTTTCTCTCCCCCCCTTCATTAGGAAATGGCCGGGGGGGGGGGAGGGGGCAGATTTCATTGCTGCCAAATACATTCTGTGGAAAGCATCTAATTCCATTTTAAATCTCTGCCTTAAATCCTCTATATATGTTTAGGATGCATTCCTCAGCTCCATGAAGCTGCAGGTCGTTTCCCAGGGCTTAGCGACAGAATACTGTTTTTATGAACTTGCTTAAGCTTATGAGGATGCTTGGTCACTGTGAAAAGTACTCCTCACGATTACTTTACACATTTTCTCTGCTCTGTGTTTCTGTCTCTCTTTTTTCGTAGAAACATAGAATGGTTTGTGTTGAAAGGGACCTTCAAAGATCACCTAGTTCCAACCCCCCCTGCCATGGGCAGGGACACCTTCCACTAGACCAGGTTGCTCAAAGCCCCATCCAGCCTGGCCTGGAACACTTCCAGGGATGGGGCATCCACAACCTCTCTGGGCAACCTGTTCCAGTGCCTCGCCACGTGTTTCCTCTCTATGTATTTCCCTACAGCAATTGTCGTAACTTTACACCATCTGTTTCCCTCCCACTCGGCTTTCTTTTAAAGTAAATGACAATTAAATAGCTAAGATTATATTACTTAGCTACTAAGTTTGTTTCATATTCTATATGTTTTATAAGCTTCTCTGGCCGTGGCCTCAATATCTTGGGGCTGATGTAGGCCTTGGGTAAATACAGTAACTAAGAAGCTTAGCATCAATAATTTCCAGAGTTCCCCTGCCGTGTTTACTTCTATGGCTGGAAGAGTTTATACTTCTCGGAATGTGTTTGCAGTCTGAAAGATTCTGAAAGTCTTACTGGTCAGATTTTATTGCTTTTAAATGCTCTTTAAAGCATTTACTTTGTTGTTTTCTCCAGGGGGGAGTGTCTTGTCTTGGACTGGAGAGATTAGGATGATGTTTAAAATCAAAAACCTCTCATGCAGACCGGTTCTTCAATAGTAACGGGGGGTTGTTTTTCAGCCAGCCTTGCATTAGGTTC